GTTATATATTAAGCAACCTTCGGTGTACAAAAATTACTATCTGCATTAGAAATAGTCTTATTTTTCTTTAGAAAAGAATAAAATGCTAGTTTTTGTTTGTGAAATAATACGGTAATTCTAACCTTTTTTTCACATATAGATAGAATATATAACAGACATTCTAACGTAACATACCAATTTTGGAAGGACTGCGGGCGGACTTAACCGATTTCGCCCGAGCATCACCGAGTCCATCACCTGACGTCGCGAACTAACCCTAATGTTTTCGAAGTTGAAATTCACACGTGTATGAAAGAAAAAAACCTTTTATTAATAAACGTGAATGTCTCCTCATGCCAAATTAAATTCAAGAACTGTTCCTCAATATAACATAATTTTTTTCACGACTTTTACTTATTTACATAATTTGATTAGTAAGTTATTTTAAAAAATGCTCTCTCTCTCGAAGGCACATATTTTTCCACTCGTTTAATATATAAGGACGATTCAGCTGTGTACTTCTAACGAATCGTGCGATCTTTCGGTTTCCGTGACCAATCGTCGTGTCTTTACTTGCGTGTGCGTGTGTGCGTTAATAATATAGGTTAGGTTCTTACGTCGTGTTAAATATATTTACCTACAGTTACAGTGACATACACTAATGCCATCTACCATCAGATCCAAGTATCACTATCGTCTCTATGAGTATCTATAGACAATTAATTTGTTGTGTTTCTTTTTAATTCATGGCTTTCCCAACTTTGCAAAAATTATTATTTTCTTTCTAAAACAACATACTAATTTTCGTTAGTTTCCTTATGAAGAACTGTAAAATATATACTGAATGAGTGTTTTTGATAGTCTCAATAGCAATTTCTATAACCTATGTCGTTTTTCCCTTGAATCTAACCTAACATACTAAAATGTCTCACCAGTTTTAAGAATTAGTGGTATTAAAAGTTTCTCCGTGCAACTATTCAAAATTACTAATTCAGTATGAAATTTCCGCAAAACATTTGAAAAGTGATATTTATTCTCAATATGAACTGTCATTCTCCCAAAGGGACATGCCAGACGAATAAGAATTTAGCACTATAATGTGTATTTTTTGCAAAAAAATTTTTTTTTTCATCGGTTTTTTTTCTGTGCCATAATAGAAACCATTAAGATTTACAATTTCCATTAAAAGTAAAATTATTCTTTCCAAAATTAATATACAAAACATGCTTCAGACATCAAAATTCCCTCTTTTGTAGAATCACCCATATGTTACGTACCAAGCCCGAAATTGTACAAAGCCCGATCTGTACAACGATTTTTGTACTGATCGCGGTTGGTACAAGCTGTTTTGTACAGAGCTGTAATTTCCGGGCTCTGTACAGAGATATGTGTACTGAGCAAGTTCGGTACAGAGATGTTTGTACAAAACCTGCTCAATACGATTTCTCATGTACAATGTTGTCCATAGCAGTCGATTAAGGATTGTCACGGCGGTGGTGAGGGCCAAGGGGATTGTTCCCATTGCTCCCATGTAAAATCTTGCATGTTTGCAACCTCAAAAAAAAATTTCAGTTTCATAATTTTAATCAAAAAACCTATATATTTATTTTATTGAAAGAAAAAAAAACATTAAAAAAAGATGTAAAAATTAATGATAAAATTTTTTCAAGATTTCAATATTATAAAAAGTATTTAATTAATTTTTTTAAGAAAAAACTACGTGGTAAAAAATTCTGAAAAAATTCATATGTTTCTAAAATAATATACAGAACAAACTGTCAAATTTTTATAAGTTTCTCTCATTTCCTTATATTGCCGGTGACAATCCTTAAAGAAATGAATGTTTTAGTATGAGCAGATTTTAGTATATTAAAAATTTTATTATTATGAACGAAATATTTCACACTTTCGCTGGCATTATTATGTAAAGGAACTATCAATTTTTTTTCATCTTCAATTATTAATACGTCATATATTCTCAAACGCCGATAATCACTTGAACTTTTTTAATTTCATTTTTTGAATCGATCACTTTTTGTATTATATCATTATACAATTTATTTTAAAAATAATTTTTCATGTCAAAAGTATTCATGATTATATTTACGTGTACCTTCGAATAAATTTGCTATGATACTGAAATCGTTTCCAATTTATAATTGAAATTATTAATCATTAATCTTTTGATTTGATTGTTGGTAAAGTGTCAACAATAAACAAATCAACTGTTATGGACAACATTGTATAGGAGAAATCGTACTGAGCTAGTTTTGTACAAACATCTCTGTACCGAGCTAGCTCAGTACAAATATCTCTGTACAGAGTCCGGAAATAACAGCTTTGTACAAAACAGCTTGTACCAACCGCGCTCAGTACAAAAATCGTTGTACAGATCGGGCTTTGTACAATTTCGGGCTTGGTACGTAACATATATAATCATTAAATTGCATACTTATACCTATACAATACAGAAAAATCGGAATAAACGCAAACCTACGAAATAAATAAAATCTAACGCACGCGAGACTTGAACCTACGACCTACGAACTACGGACTACGAAACTAACGCCCTAAACACTATGCTACGGAACCTAACTGAACACAGACGCTCTATTTTCAGTGACTTGTTGAGTGATTCAATAAAGCATTAATTGACACTAATACACTACAGCAAATAAATAAATTGTTTAATAATAATAACCATTAAACATTCATAAATTAATATTTTTATTATTTAAAAAAAATGTCAAAACATTTCAGTTAAAAATAATATTTATAAATTAATAATAAAAAAGTACATGTTTCGGTAACCTATTCGCAGTTTGAAGTTAATTGTTGTTTACATTTTGGTTTCTTAATCTTTTTTTAATTTTTCTTTTCAAATATTTTCAATTTTAAAATTAATGTATTGAAAATCTTCGAATTGTTGCAAAGAATTTTATCAAAAAATTTGATAATAATAGAATATTCCTTCAAAGAATTTCTTTATTTAGAAAAATAACTAAATTCTCGCAAAGAATTTTATTAATATTTTTAAAAATCCTAATTAAATTTTTTTGAAAAATTTCTTTGAATTTTTTTTTAAACTAATGGAGTTTCTTTAATAATTTTAATTGAAAATTTCGAAAGCAATTGAATTTTATGAAGAAGAATTTTATTAAAATTGTATTGAAAATAAGTGATTTCTTGCGAAGAATTTATTAAAATTTTAAGAAATAATTAAATTGTTTATGAAGAATTTTATAGAAATATTTAAAAATCATGAAATTTTTTCGAAAAATTCAATTAAAGTTGTTTCGAAAATAATTGAATTTCTTTAAAGATACTTTTTTGTACAACAAAAAAACAAAAAAGTTGATTTTTTTTTTAAGTTTTTGGGCATATATAGCCAAATGGTTTATCTAGAACTAAAAAATTTTATTTTTAAATAAAAATTTTTTTACTTTCTTATTACATGAGAAAGTATTAGTTTTGGTCGAAAATTGATTTTCGCTAATTTTATGAAATCTCATGAAATTAACACAGTTGGGCTGGTCTGACCCTTTTTTACATTTCAATTTTTGGTCCTATGTTGTTGGAAATGGTTTTTTACATTCTCATCACATGAGAAGATATTAGATTTGGTGGAAAACTGACTTTTGCTAATTGTATAAAATCTTTGCGTTTTGAGGTTCCCTGAATTCAAAGAACATGGTCCGGCGATTACGTCTGTCTGTAAGCCTGTCTGTCCGGAGACAAAAACTTTGTTCCGACGATAACTTTTGAAAAACTTAATTTTTTAAAAAAGTTTTTTCGAATTTTTGATTTTTTGTCTCATCTCAGTGGACGTTCTCTTAAAAAAATCGTTTTTTTTTTAAATAAAGCTGAGATACCAGAGTAACTTTTCTAGGAGATGTCCGAGTAAATCAACAAAGAGTGAAAAGTTAGCCATTACGCTCCGGTCTACACTACACAAAAAACTTATAAGAATACTAATACTTTAAGAATATTTTAGCTGCTTCTGCAAATCAAGTTTCTGCTAAGAGAGTTAGTAGAATTAAAAATAACTTCACAATTTTAATCATCAAGACCAAAAATATACATTTAAATGCTTTTATACAAAACAAGTATGTAATCCCCGCTTTCTCGGCGCGTTTTTGAGACGCAAAGTATGCCTTTACTTCTCAAAACGCACCGAGTAAACGCGGATTACATTCTCGTTTTGTATAAAATGTCGTGTGTACCTCGGACGCACGCATTTCTCGTCCTCGCTTGTTTACAGAAAAACAAAAATTTAAAAATTTCTGCAAAATCAAGCTCGGACGAGAAACTTGCGCTTTGCGTCCTCGTTGCACAATGTACTATTAATCTCGCAATCATCAGCAAACAAAAACATGTGATGAGAATGTAATCCTTAAAGTCGTAGTAACTTTAAGAAAAAAAAATGTTTTACGAAACATATAATAGGAAACAAGAACAAGAACACAATATAATAATGCACAATAATTGCAAAACATTTCCAAAAATTTTTAATTGGTGGAACTTTTTGCATTGAAAATGTTTTTGTTAGGATTTTAATAATTTTTATTTAATGAAAAATATAATGAGAAAAAATTTCTTTTCATATCATTAACCCCCTATGTAATTAATTTATACTTTTTTTGGTTTTACAATTTTCTCAAATTTTGTCCATAATATTTTCTTTTTCTAGTTTTTAAACTTTATTTATTTTTTTTCCAAAACCTTCTGGTGTTATTTGAAAAACAGGTTTTTTAAAAATCTGTTTGCGAAGATTTAGAAACTCAAACATTTAATGTCATAAAAATTAATGATTCTTAAGGGAGAGAGAAATTTTTTTTAAATAGATTTTTTTTTCTTAAATAGATCTAGCAGAATTCGAATAATAAGAGAGAAAATCAAACGACGAGTTAAGAAATTTTAATAATACAATCAATTGTTTTGCATACAAGAATAACCTTTCAATGAACTCATTCTTTAATATTTAAAGATATTAATTTTTAATATCGAAATGGCTATTATATTTTAGTTTCACATTTTTTAGATGCACGTCTTTGTTCAGGTTTAAAAAAACTACTGCTTTTTAAATTAATCGACTTTTTTACGAAATAAATGGCATTAATATAAATTTTTTGGAAATAGTACTCAGGCTGTCTACAGGCCCCTTCCTGATCAGATTTTATTTTCAATATCAAAAAATAATTTTAAAATGAAAAAATTCACATAAAAATGTTAACTTACGCCAAACTTGAGTAATGGACGAAACAATTTCCAGCACTTACCTGAAACAAAAGAGAAAAGAAATATGAAAATTTGAACAGCAAACAGTATCCAATGAATATTGATTTCTATGGTAATTTAAAGAGCGTGTGGGTGGTAATTGTTCAAACATGGTATAGGTAATTAACGTGTGAGAAAGACAAGAAAGTTTCGAAGCACTTTCAAGCTAATGAAAGGCCATAGTGAGTTATAACGGTGATTCAAAAGACCGTTAATTGCTAATTCCATAAACGCTTAGTATTTTCTTGTTCCAAAAAACAGTCTCTCTCTTTCTCTCTCTCTCTCTCTTGCTTGCTTCTCTAGGAATTGCATGTGTAAGACCCTTTTGCCTAGACAGTGAAGAAGAGGAGTTTGAGAGTTCAGAGACACCCAACTCTGCGGCAATGAGTTCTGAATAGTTTTATGGCTCGTGAAGCTCGTAATGTTCCCTCTTTCTCCTGTCTAGTCTCCTCCACTTTCTTCTTTACCCATCTCTTCTTCTTATATTTCCCACAGCATCTTTAAACTCTTCTCTTTTTCTTACTTGTTTACCTTTCTGGGAATGAGAACCGAGAATGAACATAGAGAAGAATATAACTTAGAGGAAAAAGATAGAAAGGTTTATAGCAAATCGAAAAAGATAGCCTACGAGGAAATTATGAAGAAAAGAACAAAATAATAGAGGAATAGATAGAAATTTTCTTACTGCAAATAGGGTTATATACTAAGTAGCTGCAGTTTTCCTTAATTTTTCACAAGGTCATAACGAAAAGCAGTTTTCTTTATGAAAATGTAGTAGGGAAAATGTTGTTCAAGCTAGAAGAGAAGGAAGAAGAATGGTTTTTTTCTAAATATGATTTACTCGAAGGGCGAATAGTAGAGATGATAAACTTGAGACGCGCATAAAGGAAGAGCTGAAGAAAGGATAAAATTCCTAGTGTAGGCTATATGCGACTTTTGATGGAGAGAAAGAGAGGGAGAGAGAAAGTGAAAGAGCAAGCGTCGTTACCCAAATACGCGATAACGAAACCCACTACTAGGGCAGCAGCACTACTATCTGCAAGTGACTTTGCTCTTCCCGGTAATAAACTCGCCTAATGCTCGACCACGTCGAGTCGAGCGTTTATTCGTGCAGGGTCATTTCTTACTTCGTTAATTCGCACCTCCTCTCTGACTCAACGATATCTCTGCGTATCTTTCGACACAGCACTGCTATAACGAGCGACGATAAAATCATGTCCTAACTTCCAACATACTCTACTAACTTCCCACCGGAGTTGTTATATATATACACACACCTAGTCACGTGAAAATGGACTACCGATGTTACAATCATGCACACAGCCTACGACTTAAGTACATTCATATTATCATATTGGAAAAAGTTATATTCAAATATTTTAAAAAGTGACCAATCTGAATGAGTAGTTTTCTACACAGACAAAAATTAATCTCAACCAGGGACTGTCACGGAATCAAAACAAAATTAAAAAATACTTTTGTTATGATTCGGATATGGCTATCAGAATCAAAAGTAGTATTTATTTAGTTTTGATTCAGATTACCGAATCAAAAATAAATATTGTTTATGTTCTGATTCCTATATCAAAATCAAAAATCCACTCTGTTTAGTTTTGATACCAATATCAGAATCAAAAGTATTTCTTTTTTAATTATGATATAAATATCTGAATCAAAATAAAAACTTTAGATATTAAAATTATGTAATATCGAGGGAAATAATGTTTTATATATTGATGTCATATTGTATACATAATATATACACTATAAATATGCACATGCGTAACATGCGTAAAATTTGTTGCGCATTTTTGAATATATCGGAAGATTATATCGTTTTGAGATTTGATTCAATACAAAATCAGAAGTAGAAATTCAAATCGAATTCTGCTTCCAGAAGAAAACCGAATGTAATGTGAAGTAAACTTTTGTTTCGTTACTGTATCAGAATCAAAACAGAAAGTGACTTTTGTTTTTATATCAGCAAGCAAAACTAAAGTGGAATGGACTTTTGTTTCGTTACCAAATCAAAATCAAAATACATTAACCAGTTGCCTGTTTCCGACCCACCCGTGGGTCGTATTCATTTTCACTAAAAATAAATATAATTTGTATATAAATTGATAGATATTTTTCTTTATATCAATATTATAAGACATAAAAAGGGTCCTTAATGATATTTTTTACAATAATTGAATAATTAGTTATAATTTAAATATATTATACTATTTGAAAAAGTATCAGATTCCGCTGGGCATTTTAGGACAATCATGTTGTATTTTCCTCAAACAGTTAGGGGTTAATAATTTCGTTTTGTTATTAAATATCATAACGAAATCAAAATTCGATTTCCGTGAAGGTGAACCTGAGTCGAGAAACGAGAAAGTGACTCATTTTGAACTGCAACAAAAAAATTTTTTTTGCAACCTAACCTGTAAAATTCAATTTTCAAGCGGTGTGTAAAGTGTTACACTGTAAAAAGAAGGCATCTTATTTTAAGATATTTTGATTCAGTTAATTGTAATGAGCGATTTTACCTCAACAAAGAAAAGCAAACAGAAATTAGTAATTTACTCTTGAATGTAAAACCTCCTGATTATCTGAAGCGTATTCCTAGATCCTAGAAAGATAGAAAACACTGGAAAGCAACAGAAAAAAAAGACTTTCTATTATTTGATTCTTCAATTGCACTTAAAGGTAAACTGATCAAAAGGTACTATGAGCACTTTTTAACATTATTGTATGCAATTCATATTTTAATAGGGCAAAGAGTAAATAGTAATTGATTGGAATTAGCAGAAAAATTACTTACTTTCTTTGCTTCTAAGGTTGAGGATCTTTATGGTACGCATTGTGACGTGAAAATCATTCTGACGTTATTTCAAGTATTTTATTGATCAAATATCGTTTAATTAAAGGTAAGGGTTGTAAGGTCAATAGTTCGCCCCTGCGACCTTGCATCGATTGAAGCGCCAATAATGCGATCAATTGACGCATTGCCAGATTTCTGAAAAGAGTACGTTACTCTTTGTTCGACCGTTTTAATGTTAGCTGAAATTTTGTAGTGTGTTTTGCGTGCCGAAAAAGGATTGTATATTCGACATTTGACTGAAATTTTGTGATCAACAAAGTGTCGATATTTGATCGTCATTTGAGTAAGTGATTAATGTTTCTTTGATTTGTTTAATAAATTTGTTTTATTCCTGGAAGTCGCTTGATTTTGTTTTTATATTATTTTTGTTAGGGTTCCCCAACGCTACCCTCCTTGTGATTTTATGTTAACTTATTTTTGTGTTTTGTTAATTTCGTAAAATTAACTGGCGTCCGCGTATTTGTTGTTAATTTTCTTCTCGCCAAATAGAGCTCCAGCAACTCTGAACCCGGTCGCGCTGGATGGTAATAGAATTTGTTTAATTTATGTATGATCAGTTTTATCTTACTCTTTTATTTCATTTAACTTAATATATTTCATTCTTAATTTTCAATATAAAAAATTCTATTCGTCTCAGCATAAATGTTCATTTAATGTACACCAATTAATTCATTTGCTGATGTTTGTACATTATTGGGGCCCTCTGGGCGACAAATTCTCAAATCATTTCTCCTCTTCGAGCTCCATGTATCGAACTTTTGAGTGAAGATGATTTAGTGATCTTGAGAAATTTCAATTTTTCTAACAGTTTTACAATATATGCGAGAATTCAATTTAATAATGAAATTTATACATCTGAAATTTATGAAAGACAAGTCAGACGTAACAATTTCAATGTTATGATCAAGAATGGAATAATTGGAGTTATAAAATATTTAATTTTCGCAGAAAATAAATTATTTGCTGTTTTAAGGCAGTTTGTGTAAAGTAAATTAGAAAATCAGAAAATAATTCACAGCAATTTTAATCTTGATTTTTCTGACTTTATTACTCCGATTAGGGAAACGTTTTGCATCAAACTAGTAGATTGTAATGAAATTGACAGAAAGATTTTAAAGGTAGAGAATTACATTTGTTTGATGGCGAAGGGAACAGAACGAAGATAAATGATTATGTAATTTCAAAAACTACTTTTATTTGTAGATTATTCACAACTAAAATTGTAAACACACTTTAATCTTAATATTAGCAGTTAAAAACAGTTTTTCATAGATAATTGCATTCAATTTCTATAGAAAATATCGATGAACAATAGCCTAAGAATTTATTGTAATTAAAGAATTTACCAGATACTTATTCCGTAAATTTAAGAACTTTTATGAGTCATTTGATCTCCTTAAATAATAATCAAACATATCTCTTACTGATTAAAAATAAAATATAATTTATGCAACCATGAAGAATATATTTGCAAAATTTTTTTTTTTTAATTTCAATTATATTTAATATTGTACATACTAAAAGTAATATTATTCAAAAATAAAATTTAAGGCATAAGAAAAGAACAAGTTTAGTGTCAAATTATTTAATATAATTATAAAAATATCATTATCAATTTCTAATAAAAAATTTTAACTATTTATTTCAAAGTATGAAAATTGATATGCATTATTATATAATTTTTTTACACATTGTAATATATAATAATTTAAATTTTTATATAAAAATATATAAAAATTTAAACCCATTTTATATTACATAAAATTTGACTATAAACAAAATGCTTACATAATATATAAAAATATATTTTTCATATAATTTAAATACAATTTTTATACTTTATCTACCCATATTTTTTACTATTTAGGGTATATAGAAAATATATATACTCAAATTGTTATATAAAATAAATAAAATATTAATATAAATTTTATATAATTTTTATAAAAAATATATTGAAAAAAATTTTTAAAAATTTATATAATTTCTATATAAATTTTATAAAATATTTTTACATGGGCTGCTTTACCCTTATTTCATTCAAGAAGGATTTTAACAAGAGTTTTGCTAAAAATTAAAAAAAACCTTGGCCACCCCTTACTAAAGTCCTATTTTAACTAGGAAAATTTG